CCGTGGTGTTGTCCGGCAGCTCCCCGGCCAGCCCTGGGAAGAAGCCGGCGGGGGTGATGGTGGCCCCAAGCAGTTCATTATCAGACACCAGGCCCAGGACTGCAGCCTGTGCCAGGGACAGCACCACCACCGCATCCGTCTGCGTCCCGCACTCGCTGAACCGGTTCATCTCTCGCCACTGGCCTACGCCGTCATGGCTGGGGAGGGAGAGACACAGCCGTGAGCCCCAGCACCCCACACCACAGACACTGTGCTGGGAGGGGCTCATTCCAGCCATCACTGCTTTCCTTAGCACCATCCCCAGTGAACCCCAGACCGAAGTGGGTGATGCCAGTGCGGGTCCCCAGCACCACATGTCCTCTCTGGCCAGGCTATCAGTCACCGAGGCTGGGGTCTGGCTCCTTGCACGCCCTCAAGCTCCTGGCAGTGACTCCCAGGGACAGGTGCCCACATGATTTGGGGACCAACCACAGCTGAGTGTGGCTCTGTGCTCTGGCAGAAGTAAGCAGGAGCAGCAGCAGCACAGTAAGCTTGAGGGATGGAGCCCAGACCCACTGGGATCAGCAGGACACGGTCAGCCCGCCCAGCAGCGGGCAAGAGGCTTGCTGGGCCCAGCACTGGTGCCTGGCACACTCACTCCAGGGGTCCCAGCACCACCACAGCATGGCGGGCAGCACAGGGCCCACAGGGTCCCCCGACCCCCCTCAGCAGTCAGCAAGGACTGGCAGGGATGTGCCTGGAGAGCCGCCGCTCCCTCCCACTGAAGAGCATCCTCCCAAATACAATTATTTCTGCAGCTACAACAAAGAGAAATTCTGTGGGGGAGGTAAAACAGGGATAAAACTCTGAGCCAGATCCTGTCACAGTCCCAGGAGGACCTGCCCGGTGTGAGGGAATCCTGGGATGAACAGCTCTGGAGTGGGGAAACCCTGCTGTGCCCTGATATCATCCCCACAGCCAGGCCAGCTGCAGGGACACAGAGTGTGGCAGGGACATGGGCCTCTCCACTGCAGGCAGCTGCCTGCTCCTGCCGGTCCCTTCATGGCCCTGGGAGATGCCCACCTGAACACCAGCCACAGTGCACAGGACAGGATGGGGAAGGGGATGGGATGATGATGGGGAAGGGGAAAAACCAGGGAGAAAACAGGAAGAGACAGAGAAAGGGAGCAACGCCAACGGCGGGGTCTGCTGCCCATGGACACCCAGGGTATGGGGTCCCTCCTCAGTCCCCTCTTGTCTTCTGGGCCACCATGGCACCGGCACTGGGCACAGCGCCGGCGACTCTCGGCCCGGGGTCAGACACAGCCCGTGAGAGGACCCTGCCCAGGCTTGAGCTGCCGGGGGGATACTGGGGGGAGGTGGGAGGAAGGTCTCAGCCAAGCATCTCTGTCTGCCCGGGCACCCTGGAGAGGCAGCGGGCAGGGGTCAGGGGCGGGGGGCAGGAATGGAGCGGAGGGGCGGCTTCGGGCTGCAGGGAGGAGATGGAGAGGAAGAGGATGGGGGGGAGGATGAGTGCGGAGGCAGCGAAACAAAGCAAGGAGCGGGGGAGGGCGGTGGCAGGAAGAAGAGGAGGGGTGGGAGGAAGAAGAGGGAGCAGACAGGGAGAGCCGGCATGCACAGCACAGCCCCGGGGCCCCACCCCGCCAGACGGGACCCCCTTTCCCCTGGGGCTCCATGGGGGACCTGCACTGCCCATTGTAGGTAGGGGAGAAGGGACATGGGAGAGGGGTCCAAGCTGCTCTCCCCATGTCCCTGGCACGGTGGAGGGACACTGGGCACCCAGCACAGTGCCAGGTCTTTGTCCCCCAAAACGAGCACCACGAGATGAGGGAGCTGCAAGACTGACACACTCACATGTCCCACAGACCAGTACCAGGGGGTCTTACCACCCCAAGCCAGGGGCTTTTTTAGGGGAAAGTAAATGTGGATTCTTTCCACAGGGGATGAGCTCTGCTTCTCAGCGGGAAAACCAGAGCCTTGTGCTGCACAAACCTCATGCACTTGTCTCCATTGGACACACGAGCCCTGGGACACGGGATAGAAGCTCTGCTGTCCGAGGCCACAGTGCTCCAGAGCTGCAGCTGCACAAACACCACACGGGGAAGCGGGAACAGGGCAGAGGCAGCTGTTTCACTTCCCGCTCTCACTTCCCTGTTCATGCCTCGGGACTTGCCGAGCCGGCTGGAAACACCGTTTCCCAATACACTGGCAAGTGAGGTGGGGTCACACACTTCAGCTCCCCCAGGAAACCCTCAAGGCTCTGGAGTGCTCTGGCACCTCTGTGCTTCAAGGGAGCTACTTCCAGCCTTGCTAAAGCTGCTAAAAGAGAAGTGCTGGGTCCATTGCTGGGACAGAGCACAGTCCTGTCCTGCCATGGCTGATCCCACTGAGAGCAGTCGGTTCAGTGAACCAGGACGATGCCTGGGGCTGGAGCATGCAGAGCTCCTGGACACTGCACAGGCTCCTGTCCCAGTGCTGACCCCAGCAGCAACGTGAGCAACTTCTCCAACTCCTCTTCCTCCCCAGCCCAGACCTCCAGACCCTTCCTGGGGCTGGACCTGCAGGCTTCCACCCGCTGAATTTGGGGTCCCTGCCCAGTGCCACCGCTGGGAACCAAACCCTCCTCCAGGCTTAATAACTTTTAGTTTTCAAGTCCAGCCCTTTGGTCCAGGCTCAGGTCCCTCCAGCTCATTTCCCAATGCAGACCCTTGCCCATCCATCCCTTTCCCATATGGGGGTCACACAGATACACTTGCCAGAGTCCCCTCCACCAGTGGTGAGTGCCGAGCTCTCAGTCCCCTCGTCCTCCTCTCCTGCCGCCGCTCTCCGCTCTCCGACACCACGGGACAGATGCTCCCTGATCCTTTGGGGTTGTGAAATTTGGGTTTCTTTCACCATGTCTCCTCCCACTGTGAGGTTTAGTCTCAGTGCAATCTCTTCTCTCCTCCCATCTTTCCCAACACATCTGGGAAGAGCCGTGTTCTGCCCTGGCACATCCTGTAGTCCCTGCCCTCCCTCACCCTGGCTGTCCCCCTCAGAGCCTCCACCAGCTCCTCACTCACCTCCCAGTCAGTTAGGGTTTTTTTCATGGCTTTCACTTCCTTGTGTTAGTTTATTTTCCTCCCTTGCTGCATCATCAACCCCCCAAATATTCACCCAGATCCCTCTGGCAGCAGAGTCTGCCCAACAGGCTCCTCACCCCCAGCATGTTCCTTGCTGGATTCCAGATTCTCCAGCCACCAGACTAAGAGTTGTCTGTCCCTGGACACTCTCCCCTTCCCTTTGCTGTTTTACTTCCCTTAGTTTCACCCACCTGTCCCATCACCTGTGCCACTGCCCCTCTGCCAGCGCTACTGCTCCAGAGATGAGACCCTGATAAATCCTAAACTGAGCAGCCTAAAAACATTACATCTGATCCACGGAAGCCTCACCTGTGCACCCACAGGTTTACCTGTGGTTTACCTGGGGACCTGAGACCCACCAGGTCCCCAACAGGGTACCCTGAGCTAAAGGACCACCCACTCCCATGGAGCTGTTCCCAGCTACAGCCCCCTGGGAGCAGCTCTGGGAGGAACCATGGCCCTGGCTGCCCCCGACAGCCTCCACTGAGGCATTAGTGACTAAAGATCCCTGTTTTCTACCTGGCTCCATTCCCTGCCTCCCCCACCAACCCAGAGGCCAGCAGCACTCACCTCCTCACCCAGCCATTCCGGCAGGTACCCAAAACACAAAGGATTTGGGGAATTTACCTCTCACAGCTGTCCCAAGAAGCAGTAACCCCCACCAGTGATGCAGGAGCCCTCCCTGCTGCCACTGCTCCCTCTTATCTTGGCTCCATCAGGGTAAGCACAGGCACTGCAGCAGGTGCCAGAGCCCAGCTGGTACCAGCAGCAGCTGATCCCACCTGGGTCCCTGCATGGGCTCACAGGCTGTCTGACAAACCCGGGCTCACATGGGAGGGAGGACATTTAGGGCTTGTTCCTGGCTGTCCCCTTGGCAGGACCCCCACTGTGGGACAGGTATTGCAGGACCCCTTTGCAGGAATCCTTTGTGAGAACCCCATCACAGGTCCCCCATGTGGGATCCTTTGCAGGACCCATTGTGGGGACCCCATTGCAGGACATCCTTTGCAGGATTCCTATTTCAGGTCCCCTGTGTGGGACCCCCATTTCAGGACCCTTTGCAGAACTCCCATTACAAGACCCTCTGCAGGACCCCTCTGGGTCTCCTTGGGGGAGGGGGCACTAAAACTTTTCAACACTTTTTACCAGAAAATAGCTGATCTGATATTTGTGAGAAAACCTTTGATTTTATTTTCCTTCCTTTCTCAAAAGCAGCTTTCATTTAAATTTAATAAAGGGGACTTTCATCTTGCCTGTGGATTTCACATAAAGCTGCTCAAACCCCCACATTTCCAAACAGAATAATGTTGTTTTCCTGAAAATCACAACAACTAAAATTATTCCTAAACCCGACCCGGTGTCTGTCCTGCACCAGTCTGAGGATTTGGGGTTCACCTTGGCTTCACTGCCCAGCCCTGGCTCTGTGCTGGTGGCATGTGCAGAGCAGCTCTGGCTGACGTGACACCAGCACTTCTCACCCCAGAACTGACCCCCAGCACGGAGGAACTGCTGCAAAAACGACTCAAAGCTCAGTGAAATGGGCAGGAGCTGTGCAGGGCCAGGCGCTGCTGCCACTGAAAGCAAACACATGTTTAAATTCAGTTGGTGTGTCCAGACAGATACTGTCAAACTAGATTTTAAAAGGAAAACTTTTGTTTTAAGGAAAGCTTCTCTAGAAAAAAGAAACCTCTACTGACTGTCAGCAGCTCAGAGAGCAGCCGCTCCCTTCAGCCTCTGAGTGAGCGACGGACGCGACATCACGGGTGTCACTGAAGGGGTTCTGGGTGGAGGAAGCATCGTCTTTAGAGGCTTTGGCTTCACAAAACAAAGGACACAACCTGGGATTTGCAGTGGGATGTTGATAATGTTTCTACTGAGAGCAGGTGGAAAACCAAGTCAGGCAAAGTGAGGACCGGGGGTCCATGGGACAGATGAAAGCTTGGGGAGGAGTGGCCCCATGTTGTCAGAGCATGTCAAACCCTCCACAGCCGCTCCACGGGGGCTTCCTCTGAACATATTCCATGGAACTGGAGGATTCTCACCCAGACCACTCATGTCCATCAGTCAGAAGCAAATATTTACCCCTTTGAAGCCACCTGGTTTTTGGCAAACTCTGACTGAGAGGGAAAAGGGAATGGCTTTCAAATAACCAGAGGTTACCCGTGCTGCAGAACAAAGGTGTGTGGAGCATGAAGCTGCCTGGTTCCCCCATCACCAGCCAGGGATGTGGGATCCACCCATGGGAACTGGGGTGAGAGGGTCAGGCTGGGGGCAGCAGCAGGTGCTGTGGCTGCTCACTGTAGAGGGACAGAGCTGCCATCCCAAATGCTCTTCCCAGCACAAAGACTCCCATGCTGAGCTGGGACATCCCTCTCCTGTTTCCCATTCTGCTGGGAAACCATTTTTTCCTCCTTCTCAGACTGAGACTCCATCTCTCTGCTCCTCCATCCAGCCAGCCTCCATCCCTCTTTTCCTCCAGCTTTCGCTCCTCCAGCCCTCCAGCCTCCAACTCTCCATCCCTCACTCCTCCATTCCTCTGTTCCTCTATTCCTCTGCTCTTTCATCCCTCCACCCCTCCCTCCTGCGAACCTCCATCCCTCTGCTCCTCAATCCCTTGCTCCCCACCCCCAGCATCCTCTGCTCCTCCATCCCTCCATTGCTCCCTCATTCTTCCCGTTTCCCTGGCAACACCCATCTCAAGCCGAGATCTGTCCCCTCTCTCCCTCTTATCTTTCTCCTCTCTCTTTCATCTCTCTCCTAATCTCCCTCTCCATTTCGAACCTCTGTCCTTTGCTTCCTTTCTCTCTCTCTCCCTTTTCATCTCCTCTGATGCCTTCTCTATCTCAGGTTTACAATTATTTGAATCTCACTTTAAATAAATGATCTATTTAATTAACCACTGGGCCCTGGCCCCGCTCCTGCCCAGCACGGGACCCCCGCCTGCACCACGAAGTGCCCCTTGGCTGAGGACAACAGAGACTGTGCCCTGCCACCCCTCCTGCAGCTCCTGTCTGACAGCAGGGAGCAGAATTCAGGATCAGGCACCCAGACCCTGCCAGCTGCCTGCACCCTTCCACCACATCCTGCCCTGGAGGGCAGGGGAGGGGTCCCTGCTTAGCGGGGTCATTGCACCCCCCAGAGCCACAGTTTTAAGACAGAGGAGCACCCCAGGCATGCCCTGCTCTGCCTCCCCTGCAGGACACGGCTGCTGAGTCCCAACCTCCAGCCCCCTCTTGTTCAGACCAGGCTTTTCCCAAAAAAAGTTGGGCCAGGTGATCCTTGAGGTCCCTCCAAACCTGGGATTCCAATGACTCTCTGATCCTAACACAGCCAGCACAGAAGCTGGCAGCTCCTGTGCCATAGATCAGCCTCAATGTCTGTGTCCTTTCAAAACAACCAGAGCAGACTAAAATTCATGGGGAAAAGTTGTTTCCTGAAAACCAGAGTCCTGCCTGCATCTGTTTGGCCACAGGGGTGATGGAAAGATGGATGGAGGACAGGCTGCTCCAGGCTCTGGGGCTGGTGGGAAGAAGCAAGGAGCCTGGCTCTGGCTCAGGGTCACTTCCAGGGGACCCCTGTGTTGTGGCACAGCCAGGAGCTCAGCAGAGCAGGTCCATGGCCACCAGTGCTGTCCCTGCTCCAGGGGGGTCTCCTTGAGGAACTGCTGCTCAGGACGGGCCGAGCCAGAGCAAATGTTGGAGCCAGCGAGTGGAAAACCTGCACTCCATGAGCAGCCAAAAGTACATCAAAACCGCACCAAAACCACACCAAAGGTGCACCAAAACCACACCAAAACCACTGAGGGTTCATGCCTGGAGCAGCACCCAGGCTGGGAACATTCTGGGAGGAGGATTCTCCTCACCCCCACCACTGCCTTCCTGAGGAGCTCCTGTTGCTGCGTCACATGGCACAACAACAACTCCTCTCCATCAGACCAAACCCATCCTGCTTCAGCCCTGATTTTCCAGCCCTTTTGCCCTCACAGCCTTTCCCAGAACACAGTGCTGGGCTGCCAGGACAACTGTGACAGCAAGCTGAGCTGCTGGTAGCACCTGGAGCAGTGATGTGGGGACCAGCCTCCTGCTGCTGAGCGAGGGGTTTCCTTAGACCCACTGGAATCACTGTGGCTTTATGGACACAAATGAGACCCTTCCTGCCATTCCTCTGTGGAAAGGACCAAAGCTCAGCCCCTTGTGTCCCTCAGACGCGAGTGCAGGGACTGTCCATGGGCAGTGTCCACCCCGGGCACCCAGCACCGTTCTGTCCCGGCACATCCCACGTTTCCCCATGGGCTCCTTGTGCGAGCCCCTTGTTCCCCTCTGGAACAAACATGGCCTCTCCATCCCCATCCATGTGCCATGCAGGTACGTGCTGCAGTGGAGAGCTCCAGGATCTGCCTTTAGAGCTTATGGTCACGTCATCCTTAAAAATGCTGCCGCCCAGGAGCCCCAGCAGCAGGAAGAGCCTTTAAATCAGGTAACTGGTGTGGGCTGAGCCGAGGGAGAGGGGCTGCTCTTGTCCAGACCCCCTCTGGCAGCCTGAGCACCCACAGCCCAGCCAAGGCAGCACCGACCTCTGACCCCTGGTGCTTCGGGGGCTCGGGGCTTTGTCAGCAGTTGGGGACCAGCAGTGTGTGTGGCACAGCGAGGAGCAGGGAGGACTCCCAGCCCTGCTGCTGTCCCAGCCTGGCTTCAAAGGCTTCACATAGAACCCTCGCTCTGCCTTGGAAAACAATTTTTGCTTTTAAGTGAAATAAACAGGGAAAGAAAAGACTTTCAAGTTCCTCCTTGCTGCAACGGCTTCTCCCCGGCACAGTTCCTTTCCTCTCCGAAAATAGCCAAGCTATTCAAAAGAGATGCAAGAAGAAAAAGGGAACTGAATAGAGGAAAAGAGAAAGAAAAAATGGAGCCCCAAGGGGGTGGAGAAAAACAGAATGAAAAGACAGCAAAAGTAAAGAAAAGGGATGAAAAATAAAGGAGGGGGAAGAGAGAGACAGACAGAGGAGCTTTGAAAAGAAAGAATGCTGCCAGCCTGAATACAGGGAGCAGGAAAAAAGGGCCCTGAAAAGAAAGAGCCGGCTGGAATGACCTCTCATTCAGGGCTGTGCCAATCACCACCGCGATGGAAATCCTTTCTTCTTCCCTCCATTCTCTCTCTTTCCAGCGGGGGCAGAGGGAAGAGGAAGAAAAGGGAGTTAATTCTCAGCATAGCAGAAAATAAATCTGCTCTTTGCAAAGTCCCTGAAAGGCGCTGAGGCGCTGACAAACCTGCTCCCAGCACTCACACATGCAGATGGGGACAGAAAGGAAACGGGACTGAGCGGTGCTGGGCAGGACTGCCTTCACCACCTCCTCATCCCCCTGGAAAACCAGGGAGCAAACACCCAGAGGAAACAAATCTGCAGGAAAAAGTGTGGGTTCATGTCAACCCCCAAACCTTGCAGGGAAAGATGAGGGATGGTTGTGGCAGATGCAAAACTGGGGGCCTGGTCCTGGGCTGAGCCCTGCAGGGAGCGTGGGGAGAAGGGTGGGTGCAGCCCCCTCACCCTGCAAATCCCAAAGCCCCCAGTGCCCACCCCTGCCCAGAGAGGGCCAACAGGGCTTTTACTGGGGTCTGCAAGCCCCAGCATCACCCCAGCTGTGGGTGGGAGCCACAGGGGCAGGGAGTGATGTCCTGAGCCCATGTGGGATCGTTCCTGCTCGGCACTGCTCGCACTCAGCACCCCTTGGAGCCGGGGTTAATCACAAACTGCCGGGACCTCGGGGCAGAGCCGTAAACATGGCCAGAGGTCCCAGGAGACAACACACAGGAGCTCAGGCACCCTGGTGTGTGTGACACAGCTGGCTGCAAAGGGGAAAACCAACACGGAAGAGTACAAATGGGAGATGTGTGTCACCTTGAAGGGAACAAGGGCTGCCCGGGGGGATGTGAAACAGCTGCTCATATGTGAGGACTGAGGGAAGATCCCCACAGAGGGAAGGGTCTCACTTAAGGGTCTCACTTTCAAGAGCATTGCTGCTCTTATCCTTGGGAACAATTTTAGTCCAGTTTTGATATTGCCACGTGTGGAGCCTGTCCATGCTGCAGGACAGTGGCTCCTAGGCCTGACTGTCCCTGTCTCCCTGGGCTCTGTCTTGCACTGGGCTGTGAGGATGGAGTAACAGGGACACAGCTATTTAATTAACCACTGGCCCAGATCCAGTCATGGCACCAGGGATGTCCAACTAGAGTTAAAGGCCAGGAGGAAGGTGAACACCTCGGACTGCGTGTGGTTCTGCAGACAGGTTCAATCTTCCCATGTGCCGAGCACCGGGATGCACCCCCGTGCCCCCACACCCGTGCAGACATCACCCCTCACACCATGGCCCATGCAGACTTTACCCCTCACACTATGACCGCCGGCCCCGAGGCCAACAGGGGCAGGAATCTCAGCCCAGCCCAGCATGGGCACGCTCAGCTCCCCGCTGCTCTCCTACAGCTTGTCCTGGGCAGGGGCAAGGGAGCCCCAGAGCCTTGCAGGGCTGGGGGCTGCCTGCTCCCCTCAGGGATGCTGTGCCCAGCCGTGCCAGGCATTGCTGAGCTCTGCCACCAGCACTGCATCTGCTGTCTCCACTGCCAGGCCGGCTAATAAGTTAATCATAATCAAGGGGTTCTAATTTGAGTGTGATAATTAATACTCAACTGGATAATCTTCCACGTGTAAATCTTCCAGTCCTGCAGCCGCTCCCAGCAGAGTTGGCTCCAGCAGCCGGGCGGGGGCTGCGCTGGGGACAGGTGAGGGGGCACTTCATGCTGTGTCTGCTCTCTCAACTCCGGATTTTGAGGCTGTTTTGCCTCCCAGAACGTCCCTGAGCACAACGCCAGCGACTGCGGTTTGCTTTGGCAAAGGGAGAGGTCCTGGTGAGCCTGTGCACTGCAAAGCACAGCCGAAACAGCACGGGAGACACCGACCTCCAGCTCCATGGCTTGGGAATCACCTCCAGCACACGGACCCTGCTGCGGAACTCAGCCCACACAGCCCAGTGCCAAACACAGAGAGTGCCATTTCCTACAGCCCAGAGCTGAAGGGAGGAGCGGTGATCGGAGCTGTCCACTGTGGGCAGGCAGAGGTACAGGCAGGAACTGGGGAGCACTGGACCCCTTTCACCTGCACCAGGCACTGGACCGGGTCTCCCAGAATGTCCCACTCCCAATCTTCTCATGACAAAGCTCTTGGACATGTCACACTATTTCAGGAACTAACCAGCTGCACAGCTGCCAACACCACTTCTACTTTCAAATCCCCAAGGTGGGAAACATTTCGGATCCTTTTCTGCGCAGCTGAGCAGGTCAGGGATGAGTGTCTGGGAGGCTGGGTCGGACAGAATGGAGCAGGAGGCACCAAACAAAGGTTCTCACTGGGGGCAGTTTATGAATTCCCAGTTCAGGACTGACCCAAGGGAGTGACTGTGCTGAGCCAGATGTGGAAGACACAGTATTCCTGTATGTCCCAAAGCCAGCTGTTCTCCCCAGTCCCCACAGCCCCAGCCTGCCTGTATGGCCAATGTCTTTGAGATCCACTTTGAGTACCCTGCTGCTTTTCCCAGGGGGAAGCCAGAGGTGTCTGCCTGGGGCTGCTGCGCTGGCTGACACTGCTGCCGGGTCACAGGGCCGGGGCAGGACACGATTCCTGCTCACAGCACATGTGTTCCTGTGAGTTATCACACCCTGGGAGCTCCCACCACGCTCCCAACTCTGGGCAGAGGGATTTTACACAGAAACACACGTATTTATCTTCTGAAATGGACTTCAAAGGACAGGGTCTGGCACCGCTGTCCGGAGCGTGTCACACCAGCTGGACTGTTGGCAAGGACAGAGCCCAGCACGGCAGGAGCTGTGCCCAGGGAGCGATGCCCGGGGCCCTGCGGCTCGTTGCTGCCCCTCTCCTGAAAATGGAGCTGGTGTCGGGTGAATCTGGGCCAGGGGCTGCCAGGGGCAGTGGGGGATGGATCACCTGCCCAGATAGGGCTCATCAGACGATACGGGGAGA